GAGTGTTTTTATGGTGGCAATTTCTGCAGGTGCAATTCAGTCAGTAACTTTAAAAAGAATGTGACCCTTGAGGCTCAATTGTCAGAGGATGGCTTTGAAGTGTGTGGTTCTTAGTCTACATTTTACATGCAATATTTTCAAATAATTAGAGTAATGAAATTAACTAGCAACTCCATACAGGGAAAATAAGATAAAAATCTCCATTTATTCATTTTATGTTTTATGTTCACACAAAACTAATTTCTGCCTCATATCTCAGACCCCTATCACATCTTAAACTCAATTTTCTCTTAGGTAAGGATATACAATGCAACTTCAGCAGCAGGATCAAAATTAGATGGAAAACACTTAAAATAAAAATTTAGCATCATGGTATTAATATGAGAATGGAGTCTTCACCACATCTTACCATTCCCCTCATTTCTGGGGATGCATCAATTCTTTGCAGGTTACATGTGCTTTCCTTATATCTAAATCTCATGATATTAAAAAGAAAGTCCTTCATGTTCATGCTGCCAATGTATAGAATTTGTTTCCAAATAGCAGCAAACATGATTGTAACGTATTCTTCTGATAAAGGAAACTTCTGCATGCTTTCAGAGATCAAATTTTGAAACATATGAAAACATCTTAAATTCCAGTAGGTGATTAATCGCTCCATAAAAGAGTGAATTTTTGACATCATGCTTGAAAGATACAAACAATGAGTACAGCGACTTAAATGCCATCCATTTGAAGCTGGGGGACTGATGATATAAACACATCTCACGTTCTCTGCTATTCAGCCCCACTGTCAGGAGACAACATCCCCCACCATGTAACTAACTGCAAGGGCCCTCTCCGCAGAATCACTCTGCACGGCATGGAGCTGGGAATAAAACTGTTAAAAAAATAATGTGGCTTTTTAAAGACCTTTGGAAGGAATATTATACGTGCTGTTTCTGAAACAGAGTGGGTTGGACCATTGAAAAGGAAGCTAAGGCACCACAGTGCTAACAGGTAATGTGAATATGGAGATTAGACTTCCCATTCCTTCTGTCCCAGCACTGATGTTCACAAGCAAAACCAGCCACTCAGTGGGGGTGACCCACACTGAGGGGCACATTTTTCACACTCACTCCTTTTGCTGTTTTGAAAAGGCCTCTTGAAAGACACATAGTGTCCTTCAGAGAGGAGTGTGCAGGTTTCAGGGGAACCGAGGGGTACCTGAGCTGCCCGCTAAGCATATTTCAGAGCCAGAGTAGAGCTGCCTTCTAGAACTAGGATAAGAGGGAAGTGGATCTCAGGAAGGTTTGGAAGCCTCTATCATCTGGGTGAGAAGCCAGGCCAGAAGGCAGAATTTGAGTGCTTTTACATAATCACAAAAGCTAAATCAAACAAAAGAGAAGCAGAGCACCTTGAGAACCAATATTTTATGACTCTCAGAAATAAATACACATGTCAGATTCATGTCTTTTGTAATATATAACTCACAACAGCAAAAAGAATGTCTGCTTACCTTAGTACTGAAGGGGAAATGTGGATTTTTCCAGTTGTTTTGAGATGTTAGAATATGTACTTTCAGATGTCAAGGGAAGAAAGGACTTGCATCTTGGCAAATCAGTACCAAATTCAGTTTTAATCAAAGGTACTTTATATTAATTTTTTACTTTTATCTCCTTTTTACTCTCCTGTCCCCTTCTATTTTAACTGATACACAAGAGGGGAAAGTACAGCCAAAACCTTGTTAAGAAAAATATACATCTATCTTCTTAGCTTCTGGACACAGAACTACATTTATGACAAATTTAATACTAGCTTGAGAGTAACTAAGCCCAGTTATAATTACCTTGCTGGGAAGAGAAATCAATTAAGCATCCTAGTGATAAAATCCCCACAGCACACCTAGAGTAAATGCACAACTGGAGAAGGACAGGGGATCAAAATAAAAGAGAAGAGAAGGGAAAGGCAGTATTTAGTCCACTGTTTGGACAGTAATGGGACAAAGTAATCTTTTCCAAGGGAACACGGAGCCCATTACACTGGAAATGAGACTACCTAGTGGGCGAAGTCAGCCGAGTACCTAATTCTCCTCTTCAACTTCATGATTTGCTAATGTGAAACACATGTCTCCCTTTTGCACCAAGTTCAAATGACGCTGGAATTCCAACCGTGTGGCTCAGCGACTGACCCAGAACAAGGGAAAACTTGTCAGGATTTAAGAGCTTTCAGCAAAGCCCTTCAATTGCGGCCAGCACCCTATTCCATGGAAGGATATCAATTATAGATAGTGACTTGCTTTAGCAGGCGGTCGGGACTGTCAGACACTAGATAGACAACCATGAAGAATCATGAATCTTTCTATTAACTGTAAGAGGGGGAAAAAGAATGGGTCACGGCTATAAATAAGGCACAGCATCGGAATGGTGTAACACCCTGCCTCTTGGTGGTATGTAGCATAAAGATTCAACTAATTCACACAATGTCCTCTCTCCAAGGAAAGTCATGGGAGTGGAAACAGTTACTGCTTCCCTTGGTACTTAAAAAAGTGGGTTTTACAACTGGTATTTTTCCATCTGCCACCACATCAATTAGAAGGACTTGAAGAAGCCATTCCTTCAATCAACAAAAAAATTAAGTGCCTGTACTATGCCAGGCGAATGGCAACGCTACCAAGCTTACCTCCATGAGTCAGGAGGTACTTGTATGTCATGTAAAGCGAAATCAATTTAAATGCACAGATTTGGAATTTCCATACTTCAGATAACATAAAAAGGTGGAAAATAAGTGAAGGAAGCTGGCACTATTATGTTATTGTAAATTATAAGTTTCATTTCAATTTACTTGCTCACATAATATATCTCAGACTAAAATTAGTATCATAAAGGCAATATATTGGATTTTCTTCTAATCCTGACATGGATTTCTTCTTGCTGATTTGGAATAAAACAGTTCCACTGTGTATGTACTCATTCTTTGTTTTATGATAAAAGACAACATGGTGGTCATTTAGTTGAAAGTTGAAACAGGTTTGCCGTAAAACTACTCAGATCTCTCTATTAAAACATCACTACCTAAAACCTTTTGCCACTGAGATGACATATAAATACCTTTAATAGTCACTGTCCGTCACAAGCTATCGTGTGAAGCAGGCAGTGAAAAGGTTAAAGTTATTACCAAGACTCAAAAAACGTTACCTCGACCCTGGCCTCTAATGAGGAGCACGATGCCTTTTAAGTGTAGACTTAGAGTAAGCCCCTCCCTCATTCCTCATTTGATGATAACCACAGCATCCTTGGAAATGACAATGACTCATCCACAGAGAAAGCACCATGACACCACAGAGCAGGGGCACTGCCAGCTTCTTGTTCATGGCAGTGGTTTTTATAAAAACAATTCTCACTTCTGTTGGCCACTCATTACACCACTAACGGTATCGCTGGCATACTCTGCTGTTTGGGAATATTTCCCTACATTAAAAGAAAAAGACCCAACATTTTTTATTTTTCCTTTTTAGTATTACAATGTCTGTGGTTTCCATTAAAACAGTCAGCAAGAATTAAGGGCCCTTAAGTCAGGCTTGCCTTAAAAAAAAATAACACTTGCATCACATTAAGGAGAAAGAATCAAATTAAGTTCATGGAAAAATCTGCAAATATACCTTAATTAAAAACATTTGACTTTCCAGTTTCTTGCTGTGCTGAGAAATCGATAATTCTTCCTATACAATTACAAGGAGGCACAATTAAAAAAGAAATGGAGGGGGAGAAACCCTGCTGATGTCATGTTAGATCCTCAGAATGTTCTGTAAAAAAACAAGATCTTAAAACCTGGCAAGTCACATATTTAACACTGTCGTGCAACTGCAATGTGTGGGATTTGTTACACAGGATAGGCCAAGTTGAGAAGACACACTTCAAAAGCCCATGCTGCCTCTGAAACATGTGGGATGTGTGAGGAATTTTATAGTTTCAGGATTTAAATGGAGGAGGGTTATCAAGAAATATGGATCATCTAAAAATAAACAAGTTATTATAAAAGAAAGAAAAGCCAATGGAGTGTGTGTGTGGAGTGGGTGGGGGGGTGGTGTAGGCAGAGAATCACAGCAAGAACTGCTCTGTCAGATTTTCCGTCGTATTAAAAGCTTATGAAACTGCCACACTTAGCAAATCATTCTGGATGCCTTAATGGAGTCTGTGCTTCCACACAGGAGTGTGTGAGCCTACATCTCTTTATTCTTGATTATCTAAAGGCCCTTCCATCTCAATTGCTCCTGGTCTCATTTGCCGGGAAGCCCCGCTGGCCTGAGAGGAAGCGCCAAATAAAGTGAAGCCCAGGAGAAGGAAATGGGGCTAATCAGGGATGTCACGGGGCAGTCGGGGAATGCATCTGAACTAATATGCAGGCAAGCGAGGGTAGTTCTCAGTCTGACCGTGCTGTAATTTTCAAACATGAACATTACCAAATACATTTGAAAATACCTACCACTTTTTCCATAAAACTATTAGCCCAGCCAATGGCTTTCTCCGGGAATCTACCTACCTACTCAGAGTACTAACTGCTGCATAAGATGATGGGGGATTCCTCAGATACTGAGGGTTTAGGAGAGGAAGGCAGAAGGAACAAAAGGAATCCCCCACCTCTCTGATTTTTTCTATTGTGACTGGGTCTTGGAAAGCAGAATCAAACTTGGTTAAAAGGTTAATCATAATTCATGTCCAGCTTACTATGACTCAATAACCATCAAAGACACTAACTCAAAATAGTGTTTTCTGGCTTACAGGATCAGAGTCATTACACTCTCTATTGAAGACTTTATTGAATTTTACACTAAGCTTTAGCTGACTGAACAGGTCAAGCACCATGGCTCAGTTTTCTTTATTCTCAGAAAGTCATAAAGCCCTCTTCAGTTCACAACGCTGCTAGCTAAGAAACCTGACTCAGCGCAGGGTCAGCAAGGCTGACCCCACAGAAAAGGTCACATAGCTGTAAAGCCCTGTGTCAGAGTCCCCTTCACTTACGTGCACCAGCTGCTCCTGGGTGTCAAACTCCCGCGTGCAACCCTCCCAGTGGCAGTTTGTCTCATAGATGACGTCAGGCTCCTGTTTGCTTTCCTCTTTGTCCCCTTCCTCCTTCACCAGGGTAGTTCCTTCAGGCTGTTCCTGAAAGGCAGGGGGTTGAGGACGAGTGGAGAGAGGGGAAAAAAATCAGACACAATGGGAGCAGAGAGAAGAAGAGGAGGGAAAAATCTGATACAGATGTGTCTTCTTCCTGATGCAATTTTTCAATTAAAAACTAAATAGAGCCCTGCTCTATCAACTGGGTTTTGTGAATTGATGACGTCAAGCATGTGGAATCATCTGTGTGCATATTTTCGGATTTACCAAATACATCTTCAGAGAGTGTTAACTTGGGAATAAAGAAAACAGTTCGAAACTTTGCTGTTCGGAATACAAGAGTGAAAAAAACTAAAATGTCATCCTCTAAGAGAAGCAATTAACCTGGGTTATGTAATCTTTACCCAAAAGACTGGTCTTTCTCTTTTGGTTAGATTCTTGTCAGTATATTAATTTGTTTATTCTCCTATTTTTCAACCCAGGGAAATAGTTTTCAAGTAATTTTAATTCAGTTTTCCCTGACCTTGGAGGCTGTGAGGGGCACTTTGTGGATTTTATAGGGACAAAGTCTTGTTTCAACTTCTGATCCCCAAGGATATGATTACTGTCCAAGAACCACAACATCTAAAGCTTGGCACCATTGTATTTTCAAGCCTTCTAAAGCAGCTTCACAGAAATGAAAATGCAAAGACTTCCCAGGATTCTGAGAGGTGATTAGGTATATAGATTTGGGGTCTAATCTGGAACAATACGGCAAAAACTGTATATAAGCATTTAGATAAAACCAGCAAGGTTGTTGGCTGGCAAAATGCAAGAGGAAGGACAGATTTCAGAAACCATGACACCTGTTCATTCCATCCTCAAAGTACTTAGCAAAAAGGATATTTGGCTAAAACAGGCTGAGTTTGGGCTAAAGCAGCCTGGCCATATAGCAAGGTCCAGATTCAGTGGACATCCAGACTCTTGCCCAACCCCTATTTCTGACAACTAATATTCATTGACCCCTTTCCCATGTCAGGCACAGGGACCCTAGGAGATGATATTATGGGTGTAATCTATACATTTTAAAACTGAAGCTCAGAGGATCTAAGCAACATAAAGCAGAGACCAGATTGAAAATCTTACACTTGTCCTTTCAGAACTTTGGGTGAAGGCCGAGAATCGAAGTAGACCAAGGTTAGGTTAGTTGTACCCTGATCCCTCATGGTTCTCCAGGCTCCCTTGGCAAGTAAGAAGTAGCAAAATAAAAACAAATAAGACACGATTGGCATAGGAGATATCACTGGCTCTGTGCATCTCAGGCTTTGAGCAGAAGTTTGTAATTTCGGCCCAGGGTCAGGGCTAAGGCCTGAAGCCTGCTCACACTGGTGGTTAGTAACAGAGTAGTCCAACCACTTACTCTGAATGACAGTTTATTACCCCCAGGGCTTTCTGCAGGTTTTTGTGTTTGCTTCAGAGCTAGTGAAACAGATCGAGTCAGACTCTCTAACTGGCCTTTGGTCAAATGGGTGGGTATGGCCAAGGCTAGGCCAAGACAGTAGACAAGGAAATGCTGTGAAAGACCCCCTGCCTGAGGGGTCAGCCGGCTGGCCTGCAGAATCCTGGCAGCGCACCTGCTGTCCACGCGGCCCTGGGCTGGGGAGGTCCTCGTCGGGTTTGATTTTGGACCGCTTGTTGTGCACCAGGTCGCCAGTGCTGCTGACGGCGGACTCACTCGTGGGCTTGTTCTGTTGGTCACATTTGCAGGGACAAAGACAAGAAGTAGATTCTGATCAATAAGCAGGCCCACAGTGAAAATATGCAACTCGCCACAAGCAGGCTCATGTGGCGCTAGAGCAATGAGTCTGATGGCACTGCAGTGCCACCGTAGCAGCATTTTGAGAATGTGCCCAAAGGCCGAAAAGGCCTCTGTGAGGTAGCTCCTTGTCCTGAACTCATGAGTAGCAACTCCCTGTGGTGTTTAAAAAAAGAACAGAGCTGGGGGGCTGGGCTTTGAGGAGCTCCAACAGTGTCGTCCAACGACAAAGGTGCGGGGTACTAGGAAACCAACACAAACTGTGTGCAAAGTTCTTTGATTAGAGCATCCAGATTCTTCTTTAAGCAGTATCAGTGTAGAGACAAGAAAAGAGGCACAGCACACTTTTATTCTTTCTCTGAAGTGTCATGCAATCCTGAGCCCCAGGTAGCAGTGGCAGTATGAGAATCACACCTTTTTGCACAATGTGTTTCTGTTGGATGGGGCTACAGACAGCACCAGGTCAGAGGGAAGCTTACCAAGCAGCAACCTTTCCCGCCAAGCATAAAGTGACTCTGGTGCAGGACACTATTGTTAATTAGGAGCATACACATAACACACTCCTCAGTACTGAAGACCGCAGCCCTGTGTGAGGAAGACAGGCTGCCTTAGGGAAGCCTGAGAACGCCAAGGTGCCGTGTCCCCTGGGAGCTGAAGGGGCGGCTTGGCTCTCTTCTCTGTGCTTACCCAGACAGACCAGACCAGCCCAGGGAGCAGTCTCTCTCACCTGTGAGGACTCCGAAGGGCCAGAGCTGACCTGCACGGGGTTCAGAACCGTAGGGATCCCAGGAATAGGTCGCTGCGTTGGAAAGGTTGGGGCAGGGTGGATGAGTGGAGGGCTGTGTCCAAAGGCAGAGCCTAAACTCTGTTGCCGGCTTAAGTGATGCATGTGGAGAGACATGGGTGCAGAAGGGTAGGTGAAGCTCAGGGCAGGGCTGCACATGGGAAAAAAAGGGGAGAAGACCATCATTCTCGTGGAATGCAAAGCCTGTCTTGAGCACACCACATCTGCACCTTTACACCTGGTCTTACCATCCCAAACGATGCCAGGGCCATCTGTTAAATGAGAAGATAAAAACGGTCATTGATGAACATCTTGCAAACTTCCAAAAGAAAGGGGACTATTCCAACCAGACACTGCGTGCAGGCACATGTGCACACAGACCAGAAATCAGATTCAGCAAAACGGAACAAAAGGCATTGGCTCAATAATAGCTATTTATTGCAATAACAAACTTCATATAAAACAGAGAATGGGTGACTACATGCGTACTTTTAGTGGCTCTCAGTCCCATATGTTCCTGTACGTGAAGCAATTCTTTTAATCTCAGCTCACACTGTGAGCTTTCATATGTCTCCAGATCTTATTACAAGAGGAAAGAAAATCAATTGGTTAAATGCGTTTTGAACACCATGCTTGTCATATCACTCATTTGTTTGTAAAGATGGAAAGCTTGGTTCATCCAGAATGCCACCTAAAGAATTTCCATCAGTGCCGTCTGGTTACAGAAGCTGATGGATTAACCTCTCTCGGCTGAAATCGGTGATCAATGGGCTTCGATGGAGGAATATTCCAATGGGAGAGCACAGCTCCCTCTGCCAGCTAAATGGCATTAAATGTCTATTAAAGTCCATTACACATGCTAATACCTGTCACCACTTCATTTTGCCATAGTACTTCCCAGGCTTCAGTAAGTTCTGAGGAAGCCACACGATTACCTAAAGATTTCTCGACTGGTAGGCAGTGCCAAATCATTTTTCGTGCCAGCACAGTTTAGGAATCAAATCCTCTTAAAAGAATGAAGTGCTCTTGAGGAATTTGCCACTGGCTTAAAAATGCATGAAAAATTCTAACTGCATTTGTGAAAATTTCTTCTTTAAAAAATAATCAGTGAAACACACACACACACACACACACACACACACACACACACACACACTGAGTTCCTTCATCCTGCTGTGTAATACCCAGAAAGAATCGGGGTTTCATGTCAAAGATAGAATTCATGTAAATTTCCAATCTGGTGGGTTAATTACTATTGCTATTAAGCACATTAACTGAGAATATAATAATTATAGTAACAAAATTCAAACCATTTCAACAACTTTAAGTAATAATTCCAAAGATATACGTGGTCCATTAATGTGACTCTGCATTTTGCCTATTTGACTACAATCCATAAAAGGCGGCTTCAATGGGATTACATTACTATTATTCCTACAGAGAGCCTTTCATGACAATAGCTTGTCCATTTAAGACTGAATATTATTAAGAATACCCTAGGAGAGCTCCACCAGGCTTGGAGGAACCCTCCTTTCATTCTGTATTATATTTCTTTAATAAAAGGAAGCAGAAGGCTGGTGAAAACAGTCATTGTTCACAGTAAGTTAGGGAGAAATCAGTAATAATATTCCGTTTCTGCAGTGGTATAGTTTCTGCCAGTGCCTCTGAAAGCAACCATGAATGATTACGGCACGACTTAGCTAAGGTAGCTGCGCGGATGATTGATAGGGCATTAATCAAAAGATGCATATCTGCCTCAGAATTTGTTCACAAGCTTTTTTCTAATAGCTGATTTCATGTTCACTGAGCTCTATGCCAGTTTGTCCAATTTATTTTTCAGTGTACAAGCCATTCATCAAAAAACACAATGATTTAACACACACACCCCCACCCCCCAAACCTTTTGGTGAATGAGTATTACTAAGTGGAACTACCTTAGTCTATTCATTAAGCACACACAAAAAAAGAAAAAAAAACAAAGGAGCCCACTACCCCTACATTTACAATGTGACACAGACTTTGCCAAACCTCTATGCACCCTTTCAGAGTTTTCTGTGCCCACAGGATCAGGCAGGCTTGGGAGGGGCGTCCACAGCCATTTATATTTCTAATTCTGGGAGGCCTGATATCTGGGAGCTGTAAAAGTCAGGACCTAATTAAGAATCAAGGCCATTAGAGAAAACATTTCACTAGGCAGAAGAGTGCCCTCAGTGGCATGTATGAGCAATGGACAAGTGGAAATAGCTGGCAGTATAGGTACAGTTTTACTTTTAAGATGTAGGAGAGAAGACAAAAAGGAGGCACAGCTAAGGTACCTATCTCAGAAACATCCTTCCTGACTTCAGCAGACACAGGAAGGAGCTGTGGATGCTTTCAGTGTGTTTGGGTAATGTCTCCTCTCAGAGCTGCTTTTTTTCTGGTATAACTAGAGAATGAACATTCTCTTAAAATCCATGTCAACCTTTAGATTCCAAGGGATATGAGATCATGCAGAATGGATGAGTAATCCTCAGCCATCACTGCCTGTTCATAAGAAGGCAGCAAGAGAAACACTCTCCCCTCCAGGCCAAAGTGGCCCGTGGCACAGACAGGCCTTGTCTCCGCCCGGAGGAACTTGTAGGGCTGTTGGCTCTGTGAGGTGCTGCAGGAGGGCCGCTGTTCGCTCCAGATCACAAAGCCTATTTAGAGTCTGATGACAGAAGTAGAAGCTCTTGGCTGTCACACGGTGCACGGATTTGGGAGCCAACGCTCCTCTTGCTCTCAAAACAGCCTGCAGAGCTGTTGACAAAGTTTTGTAAGGAAGAAGCATAGGATGGGCGATGCCAGGGCACTGCACACAGATGGCAAGCATAGCAGAAAGACCCCCTCCTCTCACATGCAGAAGAGCCTCCAGAGGACTCCTGCCACTGGGGAGCTGGGGTCCGAGCCACCACCTCCTGTTCTCTGACTCCAAGGGGAGGTGAGCCGTCATCCTGAGAAGCTCTGCCTGGTGGGACAGCCCGAGTCACTCTGCATACAGGTGCTTGCTGAGTCCTTCCCCAGCTCACTGTAGCTGCCTCCTTTTTGTCATTCAGGTCTCAGCTTAAATGTCACCTCTTCAGACATTGAGACCTATGCCTGTGTCAAAGTGAGGCTCCTCTACAGCTCCCCATCCAATCATTCTCTATTGTTTGACAATTTTACCATCACTGCAGTAGCCGGCACTCTGAAATCATGTTCTCGCTTTAGAAGTAAGGTCCAGGTGGGCTGGGCCCTGGTCTGTTTTGCTCCCCCCACCCTCTGGTGCTGGGCACTGCCTGGCACCCAGCAGGCCCTCAGTACAGAGTCAGTGATGCCCTTCTTCTGAGCAACACTTTCCCGCTGCCACTGCAACAAATTAGCACAACCTTAGTGGCTTAAAACACATGCTTATTCTCCTGTAATTCTGGAGCACAGAAATCTCCAGTGGGTTGGAAGGCTGTGTTCTTTTGGCATCTCTAGGTGCCCTGCCTCTGGCAACTTCTAGGCCATCTGCCTCTTTGGCTGGTGGCCCCATTCTACTCTGACCTTCTGTGACTCTAACTGTGGCCCCTGCCCCTGTCATGCAAGGACACCTGTGATTACATTCAGGCCACCTGAATAATCCTGGATAGCTTCTTCATCTCTAACTCCTAACTTAATCACAGCTACAAAATTCCTTGTGCTGCATAAGGTGACATGTTCACAGCTCCTGGGATTAAGGCATAGGTGTCTTTGGGGGCCATTATTCTGCCTACTGCTCTCAAAACAGTCATTTCAAAGAAAAACAGGTTTTCCTCTAGAAACTGCAATTTGACAACATGTCTGTAAATAGTACAAATAAAGCTAGTCTCTAGATTCACATTTTGCTATAGAACTTAAGCAGCTTTGCTGACTTACAGAGGTCAGAAATAAATAGATAGATAGATAGATAGATAGATAGATAGATAGATAGATAGATAGATAGATAGATAGAAAGATAGATAGATAAATTTCTTTAGAAGCCCTAAAAAATCTTCCTAAATTGTTCAGGTATTCATTCTACAATCTCCTAGAAATGTACAGGATTGGTATGGTTGAAAACTTTTATAAATCTGTTCTGTCTCTTAAACAAGAACACAGTCTAGCCCAGAACTTGGTCTATCTGAGCTTCATGACCCTAAATTTTTCTGCTTACCCTATTCTTTCTTGTGGATCACTTGAAAAGCAATATATTTTACATTCTGATTTCTGAATTCTCTTCACTCGATGCTTAAATATAATTTTGAAAAGCTATTTTTATAGCTTTCAGTTCTTTTCTAAAGGACTACATGAAAGATGGGTAATTAAAACAAATAAACATTTATAAGAATGTGACTTATAACTGTTAATGTATATTCAGTCAGTAAGATTGGTAGAATCAAGTGTCAAATGGCCCAGACCTTCCCAAGCAGTGTACAGACAAGGTCACAGGCCTCCTGAGATAACAACCCAAAAGTAAGTGTTACGGGCACAAAGAAAAAAAGTGCCAAGTTCATAAAAGTCTGAGGAATATGGGTTCAACAGGCTGGGGTGTCACGCTGCTATTAAATGTGAATGTGAGTTCCACCCCACATGTAGTTTGCTGTGGATTTGGAGGAGCTTCCAGAGACCAGCGTTCCTTGCAAAACACTTTGAGAAATACTCTTCTAGGACAACAGTTATAAAGCTAGAATACATTAAGTTAAATGGTAATTTGCCCTTTATTTTCTCAAGAGCAGAAAAGGAGGAAAAAACTGAGGAAAACATGACTCATTTTCTTTGAAGATCCTTGGCTGTAACATGTATGGAGTTCTCACCCACCACATTTATGGTTTCTGAGCAGATTTAAAGGTATTGAATTTTTTTTTTTTAAGAAATACCCTAAGGGGCACTCTTCTATATGTGGTAACTCAGAGGCAGAATTCTGAGCACATGTAAATAAGGATAAATACTGATGGCCAGGACCACCTTTATGTCCAGTTCTCAGCTGAATTAAAAGTGATCAACAAACTACTGTCTTGCTGGGAACCAGTTCTTCTTTTTCCGAAATATTTAAAATTAAAATACCCAAAGTCTGAACTTTGAGAAAATTTTGATGTATTTATACTCTATAAAAAATTAGAGGCAAAGTTTTGTCAATACTCTGTTGCTAAG